GGAATTTAGTTATTTCGGTGCGTAATTCTTCGAGCTGTTGTGCCAGCCGATTATATTCAGCGCGTGATACATACTCGCCGCTGTCGCTACTTTTCAGTAATGGTGAAACGGGCTGCCTAACTGTCGATTTTATTGGTGATGCTGCAATACAAATATTATCATTTCCAGCACATAACACATCAAATATTGTTTTTGAGTTAGCTTTATTTTCAACTCAAATTCGAAGAGTGCAGTGGTACCCATTAATAATACAGAACGAGGAGATTTCTCATTTTACAACTATGGAAATGGGGATGGGAATGACACGGAACAGAGGCAAAGACAGAAAAAAAAACGAGGATGACCACAAAATATTCAGGAAGACGGAAATCGAAAGCGCCATGATTTTTATGGAAAAAGGCGGAAGCTGGAAACATTACAAAAATCGATCTTTACATGTATGCTGTCACAGCTATAAATAAACATCCCTTTTATTAGTTTGTTTATGTTGGTTTATTGGTCATGTTGGTTTTTGAATTATCCTTCCTCTCATATCCATTAGGAGTGGCGTCTTGGTGAAGCTGATAAGTATTCTCATTTCGTAAGTTAGATAACATTTACAAAGCTAATTTTTGTATCTGGGAGCGCGTAAATTAAATCTATAACAACATACATAAAACAGTATAAATATGACAAATGTTACTTAGAAAATTGCATCTAGTAAAAGATAGCGCGTAAACCGAGAACAGCATAAAAAAGACGTTCACAATTAGACAGTATGTGGTCCACGGGGGACATAAAAATCAGCGTCTAGCTCGCGAAAATATGCAGAATGTGGGGTAGCGGGGAGGGGGAGGAAGGAGGGCACAGAAATGATCTTCTTCCATGAGGCAGCATGTAACTCGCAACGGACAAAGAAAACGGCGCTTAGAACGATACAGTACATAAACCACGGCAAATATTAGGATATTTTTTGTCCATACGCAGTTCCACAATGTAAAATCCACCGCACATTCCCGTAGAAGGCATGATCGCATCAGATAGCCCGACATTTATCGTAGTAAAGTTGAAAAATACCTATTATTAGCGGCTGCTGTTGCACGGAACTGTTCGATAAAGGAGGAGTGGGCACAGCTGCTGCTGCTGCAGCTGTCGGGAGAGGAGCATCTCCAGCTTCTGGTAATGATGCCATCGCATCATCCGGTGGGCTTTCCGTGGATTTCTGCAAAACACTGCTTGTCAGGTTCAATTTTTAGAAACTCCAGTGACTACAGTTAAACAGTATATAACATAGACCTCAAAAAATGAAACAAAGCTTTTAATAAAAGATAACTCCACTAACCCTTTTTATGAAGATCGTAGAGGGAGGTCTTTTGTTGGGTTGCTTTGGACGAGTGGTTGTAATATGTGATAACCGGTCACCGGGACGCCCTTCAACCGTCGGAGCTTCTTCGTTTCGTGCACTCTGAAATGAAAAACATGAGGCAAGTTTATATAATATCGCAAACTGCAATGAAAGAAGCTTCATTTGATTAAATTTGCAAATATCAGCTCCATTTTGTAGCAATATTCAAATAAGCCGACCTTACTGCTGAAGGCTTTCGGTGGTTTCGTGAAAGCATCAGCAAGGGTTGAGTGCATTTGGGCGAACACAGAAGATGAGGTTGCGCGACGGTTAATTGCAGATGAGGAAAGTCCCGGTGGCTTCGCTGGTTTTACTGGCACATTTGGCGGTGGCGGCATCTAAACAAATTCACAGCTAACGAATTTTTCATCAATCACCAAAAACATCAGTGATCGTTTTCACAAGTTTGTTAGATTCTCAATTTGGTGAACTTCAAAGTCGAACTTAGTGACAAAACACTGAACAGCATTTCCTAAACGGTCATGTGCTCCAACACAGTCTACGATAGTAACGTTCAGGACAAAGCAGGGATACTCAATACACACCAAGGATCTCGAAACGACTTAGACCTTGCCATGAATTTTTCCAGAAAACTGCTTAGCTCAGCAAATTTCAGGAAAAAGAACGTGCCTCAAAATAGCCAGCAGGGTTGACTACTGCGTTACCAGTTCCACAGTAGGAAAATCAGATCATTACAATTCTCCAAATATTTGAAGCACTAAGCAGCATAAATTCCAAAAAATGCATTAAAACACAAAAAAAAAAAAAAAAAAAAAAAAAAA